GCAGCCTCGGCTCCGGCCCACTCCGCCGCGGCATCAGACGCGTCTGAAGACGGTGCATTGTGCTGCTCAGCGACAGGAGTGTCAGCTGGAGGCATGCGACCACCGGAGCCGCCTGCTTCCTGCCCGGGTCTGGAGAGGAGGCGAGCCAACGATGGCATGTCGGCCAGACTCCAACTGGCCGCGGGGGCCATGGTGATTGCGGCCGTCTGGGCCACTGCTCCGGCCACATTTCCGGTCATCAGGCTGGTCAGGGCGGTGGGGGCGGTGGACATGTTGATGCTGCCGTTCGGCCCCATTTCGTGGCGCTCTTCGGTACCGCCCGATATCCGCATCCCCGAGAGCAGATTCGTCCTGGAGCCGGTCGTGAAGGCCTCCGGGATGACCGAAGTGAATCGGCGTTTCATGATGCTGACCGCGGCCGATGACGGTGGCGAACCCGGTCCTGGTCTCGATCCCGATCCCGAGCCCGATCCCGATCCCGATCCTGGGCCCGGCCCATCGGCAAACCCGCCAGTCGCGTTGCCCACGAGGCCCAGCTTGTCGGTGGACACGGCGGCTCGATGTACCACCATTTTGTGCGCCATCTCCGCCGCCAGGACACGATATTTGGCCGTCTCCATGTTGCGCAGCGTTCGTCGTCGCTTGTCTTGACCCCTGACCAGAGTTCTTTTGTCAAGACCGCCAGAGTTGGTGTCACGTTGACTGGCTTCAATTCGTTGCGTTGGCTCGTCCGTCTGTTGGCTCGTCTTCTCGTGGCCGGACGCCGAGGCCGTCAACCAGGAGGTCGGCATCACTTTGTTCGGATACCGCTGGGCGTTGGCATTCGACTCGTGGACGCCAACAGTTAGCACTTCGTTCAGTTGCTCATTGGCCATACACTCGACTCGGCTTCTGGTCACGGCCATTGAGCTACGCCTCAGCTCGGCGTACAGTCGCGTCGTCAAGGTCCGCAAATCGGCATCGCGGAAGAGCGAGGATTTTCGTCGTAGAAAGGCGACTGGCATGGATTCGCCGTCGCCGTGGACGCCGTCGTCATTGGCAAGGGGTCCTGAGAACTTGGGTTCGTTGCTCTTTTTCCTCTCAATCCTGGCGGAGAGACTGGAAATGCAGGCATTGGGTGAACTGCTTGCTTCGCCGGCTTGCAGTTCTGTTGCCACCCTTGACCGCCGCGGGGATTGACGATCAGGACGCGGCTTTTGCGGACTGTTGCTGTTGGAACGGGACGAGTCGATCAGAGCGCCTGCTGGCTCGAGTCCGCCGCCTTGGGCTGTGCCGGTGGCGAGGATTGCGGGCGGTTCGTCGAAGCCCAGTTGACTGATCGGACTGCCGCCGGGGCGCAGCTTGTACCCGGCCTCGGTCGCGGCGGTTGACAACGAAATGGATGCTTCACTGCTGAGCCGAACTGTACGCACAAACCGAGTGAATCGGGCCCTGTTTTGGCTTCGTAGCGAGAAATTCGCCTCTAGACTGTGATTTCAGGGTGCGAACGGCCGAACATAAAAGACACCGAGATCACATTGTGAAAACATTTTCGTGACAATCCTAAAACACTCTCTTGACAACCTACACTACCCACATTGTTAATACTTGGTGTTCATATGGAGCAGGCTTTGCTACCTCCAATGGATCTTGAAGCACATAATTTGATAAAGATCTAAAAGTCCAATTTTTCTATAATTATCTGAGCAATCATGAAGATGCCTTTAAGCTTCCCTTTGTCTTGCACCCAAAGGGAGCACTCATCAAGACTGGCTGAAGTTTCAACCCCAATGCGGATGGGGCCCGAGTAGCAAAGTGGATATTTGAGGCAATTCATCACTACGCCATACTGCCAGACAAAGTAGAATCGGGTGTCCAATCTGGGTGAGAAGGCTTTTTTGGAGAACGCAATAATCAGTCATTAACTCACCTAAAGCGAATACAGTTTCTAGTCAACCTCATGGGATGTATTCATCCGAATTCCTTTTAAAAGGATAGTTGAATTTTCCCACAATTATA